CTCAAAAACGAAGCGGTTCAAAGAGGGTCTGTGCAGGCCAGAATCGTCTCGGTTGATACCATATCCAAGTCACACAAAGAAACAAAATGGATTATAGACGCCTGTCTTCTGTTCGGAGCCCTGCTATCATGGTCAGTCAGAACATCAAGGGCCCGCGACATACAGAGCCTGACTTACCCTCAACTTCACTACCGGCAATACAACATGCATAAAGCAACTCTGAACATATAAATAACCTTTGTTCTTTGGTCGACCGACCACCTACAACTCAGAACCTTCCCCCAAACGACTTGGTCTGCTCCCTCCCCATCCAACGCAAATATGAGCAGTGATCTTCGAAGACATCACAAAGAAGATCCTGCAGACTCATCTTCAAGTGTTGAGAGCAATAATGCCGTGAGAGGTCAGCGTGCTCGTTTGGACCAGGCATCCAGGCGAGACAGGACAGGAGCAAAAAGGAATATTCTTGGCTCAACAATCAAACATCTGCTTCTCTGGAACCTAGAGATCTTCAATTTGATGGTTCGACTGATGAAGAAACCAATGTACGTCTTAGACCTTCACCGAGTTTCAAGCTGACTTTACAATCTAACTGCAGGGAATTCATTATCTGCTCGATCCTGGTTGCCCTTATATTCTCTTTCACGGCACCGTTTATTGGGAGCCTCTTCATCGATGCAATCGCGCCAGTCTGTCACTTGCCGGGTTTATTCGGAACGAACCAGTGCGAACAGCTACTCGGGCGAGCAGGTAAAGGTAGATCTAGATATGGTGAACCAAAGTTCGACGAGCTCGTGAAGATACAACTTCAGTTTGACTCCTTGTTGAACCACATTAGTCTAGGGGCCCATCTCGGCATGGAGATGAAAAGGTCCGAATCAGCTGTGCGAGATTTGAGTGCAGTTGTACGTTTGTTTCCTTCTCCGATTCTATCAGTACAACTAAATCCTCTTCTTTTTCATCTATCTATTTAGGTCGGTGCTTCTGATCTCAAGTCCAAGAAAGAGCTCGAATCATCTTTGAACGAACTTGCCTCTTCAATGAAGCAAGCGGTCCCACTCTTGAGCAAAATGGAGGCGGCAATGGACGGCACAGTCGACTAGTGAGATTTACCTCTTGATTTGCCTTTGT